ACAAAACAAGAATTACACCCCAAAATTTCTCTCTAGTATGGGGATACCACAAGTGTATGAGCTTTTCAATGTCTGGACTGATTATGTACCCATCATTGCAACCTGTATAAACACAAAAATCAGTCAATACTGCATGGAAAATAATGCACTGCAACGGTTCCTTCTTATATGATGAGTGGTCAGTAAGTATGGCATAGTGTAGCCTCACCTACAGCAGTTCCTGTTCCTAAGAGTCAAGCAGGCCTAACCTACTGGTACTTAGCTGTCCCACAGCACAATGCTATCTTCACTGGCCAAGAAGTACAGGAGGCTGAACAAAGGGTAAAAAATAGATTACCTGTGGTTTTACTAGTGCAGTTTTCTGCAGAAGATGAGTGGCACCAATGTCTCACTGGAACATAGCCATTGGGACATATAGATGGGTCAGCATTGGTGCCAGCCAGAGTCTGGGTTAGCAAACAGGCAAAGCATTGGTCCAGGCAGCAGGCAGAGACATGGTCAGCACAGCCAAAGGATTGGTCCTGACAGAAGGCAAAAACATGGCCCATAAACATGCCAGGATCAGTACAGGCAGCAGGCTGACATCTAGGTAGCAGGCAGGAACATGGTCCACAAATAGTCCAAGGTCAGTACAGGCAGCAAGCAGAGACATGGTCAGCACAGCCAAAGTATTGATCCAGGCAGCAGGCAGAAACATGGTCCATAAACAGACCAGGGTCAGTTCAGGCAGAGGCATGGTCGATTAACAGCTCAGGGTCAGATAGAAGCAGGCAGAAACATCAGGCTTAGGGCTTTAGTCAGGTAAGACCTAGACACAGGGGATGAGGCTTCTTCCCAAAGCTCTTTGAAGCCTCTGGACACCAGACCCCTCCTGGAATTATCCAGAGCAAATCAAACATTTTTTTCTCCACTCAGAAACACTACTCTGGAACCCCTCACATATGTGAGACCCCCGTGTTATCTTGAATCTCACTTCTACAGTGGCAGGGCAAAAGATCAGTCCAAGCAGCAAACAAAAATCTTGGTCGATTAACAGGCCAAGCTCAGTTCAGGTGGAAAGCGTAAACGTGGTCGATAAACAGGCCGAGGTTGACTCAAGTGACAGGCAGAGACATTGTTGATAAACATGCCAAGGTCAAATCAGGTGGCAGGCAAAGGCATGGTCGATAAACAGGCAAGGGTCAATTCAGGAGGCAGGCAAATGATCAACAGAGGACATCGTAAATGGGGAAATAGCAGGCTGTCAGAAATATGTTCACCATACCTTCACTAATATCTTAGTGAAGTGTGGTAATGTCGGAAGCAGTCACCTCTGCATAGGCCCAGTTGGGGGGGGGGGGTCACTGGACATCTTGCCCAAAAATGGCATCTTGCCCAACTCCCTCTGCTGCATCTTCAGCCTGTATCTGTGGGTGGAATGGGAAATGTTGCTCAACAGCATCAGAGCGAATGTCTTCTAATGGGGGGCCTGGCTGGTAGAGAAGGGCTATGACAAAATCTTCTTAGAAGTTGAGAAAGGAGTTGGGTCTTTCCGTGGACTTGTGATAGGTGACATAGGAATTATAAATTGTCAAATGAAAATGGTAAACTTTTTTGTACCAGTAGCAGGACCTTCTGGTTCCGAACTAGAGCTGTAATATTTGATATTTGTAATCCACACCTCTCATGCACCGATTATAATCACGTATTCACTCCCCTTTTTGGACTGGACAGTGTCTTCCGTCAATTTCCACCAAGGTGTTATTGCGGATGGAGGATGGGACAAATACAGTACATCTCACTTATTCCTCCAATTCAGGGCCAACACTTCCAAGTTCTTCAAAAACTCACTCCCCCCCCCTTTGTACTCTTGTGGTCTCCAGCCTTTGTGGAAAGATTTTTGCGATTCATTCAAGCTGTACCACAGGCTGAAAGTTTCTTGAGGTAAAGGTGGCAGAAAAGGGGCAGGCTTGTGCAAAAGTTGTCTAGGTAGAGGTGGTACCCTTCATTGAATAGTGGAAATGCAAGGCCCCAGACAATTTTTCCAATACTCCCAATATACTGTAGGTTGGGAAGTCAGTGGGTTGGAGTGGGAATCTCTGCCTTCATACACTATATTGCCAAAAGTATTGGGCTGTCTGCCTTTCCACACACATGAACTTTAATGGCATCCCAGTCTTAGTCCGTAGGGTTCAATATTGAGTTGGTCCGCCCTTTGTAGCTATAACAGCTTCAACTCTTCTGGGAAGGCCGTCCACAAGGTTTAGGAGGGTGTCTATGGGAAGGTTTGACCATTCTCATAGAAGCACATTTGTCAGGTCAGGCACTGATGTTGGAGGAGAAGGCCTAGCTCACAGTCTCCACTCTAATTCATCCCAAAGGTGTTCTATGGGGTTGAGGTCAGGAATCTGTGCAGGTCAGTCAAGTTCCTCCACCCAAATTCGCTCATCCATGTCTTTATGGACCTTGCTTTGTGCACTGGTGTGCAGTCATGTTGGAACAAGAAGGGGTCATCCCCAAACTCTTCCCACAGAGGTCCCATACAGCGATCGGTGTTCTGCTGTGTCTGGAGGACACAGCGGGCACCGGATCGTGGTGCCATGTGCTCCCAGGGAGCGCGCACAGTCCAAAATGGTGGGCGCCATTTATGAACGGCAACCCGCCCCTGCACTGCTACCATCCGGCTGTTTATATACAATGGATGGACGGGAAGTAGTTAAGCTTGATATTCATATGCACTTTTATTCCTACTTCATATCATTGGCTAATATGCATTTTTTACTAATAAATTATTTAATCTTCTACACTTGGAATGTGCCCTCGTGTGACTCCTTTACATTACTACAGATATTCTTTAATGTGCCAAGAAGCTGCACTAAGCCCTTTGAAGCCAGCTGTTCATTTGGCATTATTAATTACTCAGCTAGGACTTAACTACTACTCTACAGTCTACTGGCTTGTTTCTTGGTACTACAATGGATTTTTATCTACTATAGATCAGGGAGTACTTGTCCCAAGGAGCCAAAAGCGCTTTCAACACATCTTTTGCCCTGGCCATAAACCATCCATGACTGGTGTGCCCTAGCATTACCAAATCTGGTGAAAAACATTCAGATGGAGAGACCACTCCCTTTGATTTAGATCTTGACGACTGAGATATCTACCTGACAATTGTCCATTCCCAAAATGTGAAAGGTGGACAAGGTTGGAAGGTGAAGTTCCACCAAATCAAGGTTCTAACCCCTCTCCAGTGCAGCTGCCGAGTTCTTTGCACCACCCTGGTGATTGATGTAGGCCACAGCCTTGGTGTTTTTCAACTTGACCCTGATCAGGTATCCCTTGAAAAGAGCCATCCAATGGGAGAGGGAGAGATGGGTTGTTCTAAGTTCCAGGATGTTGATGGAAAGCCCGGTTTGCTCCTGGGAACCATTGGCCCTGAACTGACAAATGACCCGGCACTCCACCCCAGCTGAATAGGCTGGCGTCCGTCATGGTGTTAGCTACAATCCTTGTAGACGAAACCATCAAAGAAGGAATTTTGAGGACCATCTATGCTTATGAGTCTTGAACAGGACCATGGAGTCCTCTTACATGCAAGGCGATTCCCCAACCTCCAAATTCTCTCGAACAGCTTTAATTTAAAAAAAACAAAAAAAATCCCAGCTCTTTCTCAAACTCATTCTCGCTGTCAGAAGGAACGGATGAGGCTTCCACCTCCATGGAGGTCTATGGATCCTCGGAAGAAGTGTGTTCATTGTCTGAGGCTTTGGATACAGATGACAGTGGCAATTATTTGGGGAGCCTCTGCAAAACTTAAAGGGCCCTCGAAGCCCTGACACAACCTGGCCTACATCCTGAGCTGAAATCGGTGCTTTCAGGACTGGGGATTTTGGCAAGAAATGCAGAAAGAGTCCATATGGGAAGCAGCCCCAGACACCCTTCAACTACCACAAGAGAGGAGAGAAACTTTGTCCACAAGTACTCGACATCCCTCGTCCCATCCACTGAGATGAAGTCATGATTATAAAGAGGTGTATGTGTGCAGACTGAGAGTGACCACCAAAGAGGAATTACTCGCTTCACCAGGTGCACACCCACAGGAAACAGCAGAGGTACCTGTAGCAGAGAGGATTTAACCATGTTCATGCTCAGGATCCAGGAGACACCACTCCCTGTGGAAAAACGTTAGTAGGACAGATGCCCACAGTAAAAATGGCAGCTGTGGGACTACTGCAACAGCCCATCCATGGCTGCTAGTAAAAGCATACAATTCAATGTTTGTCTCCCAGGCAGTGTTTGTAACTGTTTTGCATGGGGGCTGTCTCAGGCCAGCATCTCTGCCCCACATATGCAGTATGGTTCAGCTTTGGGGAGGGGGCTGTGATGGTGACAGAGGATGTGGACTGAAGATCACAGGCAAGGGATGGCCTACAGTGATTCAATGCACCCAGCAAAAGGAGAGTACTCAAAGACTGCAGAGATCCATGCAGTACTAGCCGATTCTCATGGATGGAAGAGGGGAGAGGTCTTCAGGGCTTTGCAAATGCCTCCAATCTGAATCTGGGGATTGCTGGCCCAACTGTGGATCTGTAATGGAACAACTAGGAATGATCATGGAGGAACAGAGCCATCTAGGCCACTGCACCATAGTGGAGTCATCGTAGCTGAGCCTGCCTAGACAGGTAACTACATACTCTCCCAGGCAGTACTGGAGAGGATACCAGGATCTATATGTCCAGACAATTGCCCAGCACTGCGGTAGACAAAAGACAGAAATCCATCAAGAGGAACAAATAGAAAAAAAAAAGAGCAGAAAAAAATCTCTAGGTCCTACCTCCTAAGCGCTAAGCAATAAAACTGGGCAGTGTGTTGCTGATTGAGAGATTTTTTTTGTAGCTAGCGTCCTACTGCTGAAGGCGGCATGATAAACCAATTGGTCATGATCTACAGATCTGACTGTATCCTTCAATGAACAGAAAAGGAAATATCATCTTGTAGCGTCCACACGTCAAAGTGTTCAATCACTTTATGTTCCAGACCCTCAACTCCACCTACCTGATGATGGTGAGGGATAGTGTGATCTTCCTGTGTGGAATCCCGGGAATACGGAGGATGGGGACATCTCTCTGGTGGGTTCCCATGACTGGATCCATCTGTAGGAAAACACACACACACTGACTGAATCCATTGTTTCTATGTGTTTATCAGATGATGGGGGATCTAGGTGGATCCTCCGTACTGCTCTCTCTTTTACAATAAAGTCTCCTCTTACCCGGTGATGTGAGGGGCGGCTGATTGTCCATCATGATGGCCTTATAGAGATCCTCGTGTGCTTCTGAAAACTCTTCCATCACTCCATACTCCTCATCCTCCTCTTTATACTCTTCTTTAACAACAATATTATAATACCCGAGGTTTCCACTCTGAATATATAATAAACATTCATTATAACAAACATGCTGTGTATAAATCATAATTATCAGTGATTGTTCCTCATCTACCTGATGATGGTGAGGGATGTTGTGACCTTTCTGTGTGGAATCCCGGGAATACAGAGGACGGGGACATCTCTCTGGTGGGTTCCCATTACTGGATCCATCTACCTGATGATGGTGAGGGATGGAGTGACCTTCCTGTGTGGAATCCCGGGAATACAGAGGACGGGGACATCTCTCTGGTGGGTTCCCATGACTGGATCCATCTGTAGGAAACACACACACTGACTGAATCCATTGTTTCTATGTGTTTATCAGATGATGGGGGATCTAGGTGGATCCTCCGTACTGCTCTCTCCTTTACAATAAAGTCTCCTCTTACCCGGTGATGTGAGGGGCGGCTGATTGTCCATCATGACGTCCTTGTAGAGATCCTTGTGTCCTTCTAAATACTCCCACTCCTCCATGGAGAAATAGACAGTGACATCCTGGCACCTTATAGGAACCTGACACACACAATGATACAGTCACCATCCAGACACATCTCTTGTCTGTTACTGGAGAATGTCCCAGAATTCCCGGCACCGCTCACCTCTCCTGTCAGCAGCTCCATCATCTTCTTGGTGACTTCTAGAATCTTCTTCATGTTGTGTCTCTCGGGTTTTAGGGAGTCACATGGAGGGACTGTGATGGTCATAGGATCACCTGACTTCACAGGAGGAACACTCTGTATTCAAAATAAAACAGTAATATCATGTCACATTCCCAGAATCCTCCTCACCTCCCCGGTCAGGTCTGTGTTTTATAAATAGACATAAGAGTGATGTCATGTGACCTCCCAGAATCCTCCTCACCTCTCCGGTCAGGTCTGTGTTTTATAAATAGACATAAGAGTGATGTCATGTGACCTCCCAGAATCCTCCTCACCTCTCCGTCTGGTCTGTGTTTTTTAATAGAGATAAGAGTGATGTCATGTGACCTCCCAGATCCTCCTCACCTCTCCGGTCAGGTCTGTTTTATAAATAGACATAAGAGTGATGTCATGTGACCTCCCAGAATCCTCCTCACCTCTCCGGTCAGGTCTGTGTTTTAATAATAGACATAAGAGTGATGTCATGTGACCTCCCAGAATCCTCCTCACCTCTCCGGTCAGGTCTGTGTTTTTATTAATAGACATAAGAGTGATGTCATGTGACCTCCCAGAATCCTCCTCACCTCTCCGGTCAGTTTCTGTGTTTTATTAATAGAGATAAGAGTGACATGTGACTCCCAGAATCCTCCTCACCTCTCCGGTCAGGTCTGTGTTTTATTAATAGAGATAACAGTGATGTAATGTGACTTCCCAGAATCCTCCTCACCTCTCCGGTCAGTTCTGTGTTTTATTAATAGAGATAAGAGTGATGTCATGTGACTTCCCTGAATCCTCCTCACCTTTCCGGTCATGTCTGTGTTTTATTAATAGAGATAACAGCGATGTCATGTGACCTCCCAGAATCCTCCTCACCTCTCCGATCAGTTCTGTGTTTTATTAATAGAGATAAGAGCGATGTCATGTGACCTCCCAGAATCCTCCTCACCTTTCCGGTCAGCAGGTAGATGATCTCCAGGGTGAGGTTTAGTATCCTCTCAGTCATGTAACTCCGATATATCTCCATTCTCATTGATGCAGTCATGTGATCTATGAAGGTTTCTCTGTAGACGGATAGTGGAGAATTATCTGGACGGTATTGGTTGTACAATATTAGGATGGGGGTATAAGAGGTAATAGGTGGGCTACTCTCAGTGACACTTGTAGATCGGGGTACTTTGTATTTGTTGGGCTTCTGGCACCCTGCACACCTTAAATCCTGTCCTAGCTGCCTGATCAGAAATGACATTTAACAGGTAACGTCTGTTCGGTATCTGAACTATTTTTGCTCAGTTTTAGGAGGGTCCTTCTCACAGCTTTGAGGAGAACATGGGGAATACACAAATCATTTAAATGGCAGGTTTGGGGGAAGCCTTATAACTGTACATGGTGTACAGGAACCGCATGAATTTCAGGGATGGCATCCTCAGCAGTATACTTGGTGAGTCCTGGAGACCGGTGTGTCTATATGAAGAACCAACAGATCTAAATACAAAGTCTCAATCTGCAGACTTCAGAGGGAACATCCCCAAACCCATCACCTGTTGGAGATAAAAGACTTCACAGTGACTATGGAGGAAGAGGACGGACATGACTATGGAGGAAGAGGACGGACATGACGGGGGTTACTGGGTATAAATAGTAAATATCATCCTATTACCTCCTCTGCTGGCACTTCCACCAACGTCTCCTCTCTACTTCCTCCCAGCTCACCTCTCACCCGGAATTTTCTATTTATAACTGACATCACTTCCTGTCCATATCATAGAGACTTCCAGTCTGGGTAGACGTGAGATCACCAGCTTGTGGAGCTCAGAGGAACTGCAGCCCGAGAAAGTTTTCGTAACAATGGGATTTCATTTGGTCTTGCCAACACCAACGATACGGCTTATTTTTTCCAACTGACATCAACAGTGGGACTTATTTTATCCCACTGCACTGTGATGGGACCAACTTAATCCTACTGACAAAATAGTAGGATTTATATTATCTTGCTGACCCCAACAATGGAGCTTCTGTAAAATTATTATTATTACAGGTACTTACATAGCACCATCAATTTACGCAGCACTTTACATATATATTGTACATTCCCATCAGTCCCTAACCCTCAAGGGGCGTACAATCTAAGGTCCCTAACTCACATTCATACATACACATACTAGGGACAATTTAGACAGGAGCCAATTAACCGACCAGCATATATTTGGAGTTTCTTTTATCCTAACACCAATGATGGGACTTCTTTTATCCTACTAACACCAACGATGGGACTACTTTTATCCTGCTAACACCAATGATGGGACTTCTTTTATCCTACTAACACCAGTGATGGGACTTCTTTTATCCTACTAACACCAGTGATGGGACTTCTTTTATCTTACCACCACCAATGATGGGATGTCTTTTATCCTACTAACACCAATGATGGGACTTATTTTATCCTACTAACACCAGTGATGGGATTTCTTTTATTTTACCAACACCATGATGGGATGTCTTTTATCCTACTAACACCAATGATGGGACTTCTTTTATTCTACTAACACCAGTGATGGGACTTTTTTTTATCCTACTAACACCAGTGATGGGACTTCTTTTATCCTACTAACACCAATGATGGGACTTCTTTTATCTTACTAACACCAGTGATGGGACTTCTTTTTATTCTACTATCACCAATGATGGGACTTCTTTTATCCTACTAACACCAATGATGGGACTTTTTTTTTTCCTACTAACACCAGTGATGGGATTTCTTTTATCCTACTAACACCAGTGATGGGACTCTTCTTTTATCTTACCACCACCAATGATGGGATGTCTTTTATCCTACTAACACCAATGATGGGACTTCTTTTATTCTACTAACACCAGTGATGGACTTTTTTTTATCCTACTAACACCAGTGATGGGACTTTCTTTTATCCTACTAACACCAATGATGGGACTTCTTTATCTTACTAACACCAGTGATGGGACTTCTTTTATTCTACTATCACCAATGATGGGACTTCTTTTATCCTACTAAACACCAATGATGGGACTTTTTTTTTTCCTACTAACACCAGTGATGGGATTTCTTTTATCCTACTAACACCAGTGATGGGACTTCTTTTATCTTACCACCACCAATGATGGGATGTCTTTTATCCTACTAACACCAATGATGGGACTTCTTTTATCCTACTAACACCAATGATGGGACTTCTTTTATCCTGCTAACACCAATGATGGGACTTCTTTTATCCTACTAACACCAATGATGGGACTTCTTTTATCCTGCTAACACCAATGATGGGACTTCTTTTATCCTGCTAACACCAATGATGTGACTTCTTTTATCCTACTAACACCAATGGGGACTTCTTTTATCCTGCTAACACCAATGATGTGACTTCTTTTATCCTACTAACACCAATGATGGGATTTCTTTTATCTTACCAACACCAATGATGGGATGTCTTTTAGCCTACTAACACCAATGATGGGACTTCTTTTATCTTACCAACATCAATGATGGGACTTCTTTTATCCTACTAACACCAGTGATGGGATTTCTTTTTATCTTACCAACACCAATGATGGGATGTCTTTTATCCTACTAACACCAATGATGGGACTTCTTTTATTCTACTAACACCAGTGATGGGACTTTTTTTTTATCCTACTAACACCAGTGATGGGACTTCTTTTATCCTACTAACACCAATGATGGGACTTCTTTTATCTTACTAACACCAGTGATGGGACTTCTTTTATCCTACTAACACCAATGATGGGACTTTTTTTTTTCCCTAACTAACACCAGTGATGGGATTTCTTTTATCCTACTAACACCAGTGATTTTTTTTATCTTACCTAAACCACCAATGATGGGACTTCTTTTATCCTACTAACACCAATGATGGGACTTCTTTTTATCTACTAACACCAGTGATGGGACTTTTTTTTATCCTACTAACACCAGTGATGGGACTTCTTTTATCCTACTAACACCAATGATGGGACTTCTTTTATCTCCTACAACACCAGTGATGGGACTTCTTTTATCCTACTATCACCAATGATGGGACTTCTTTTATCCTACTAACACCAATGATGGGACTTTTTTTTTTTCCTACTAACACCAGTGATGGGATTTCTTTTATCCTACTAACACCAGTGATGGGACTTCTTTTATCTTACTAACCACCAATGATGGGATGTCTTTTATCCTACTAACACCAATGATGGGACTTCTTTTATCCTACTAACACCAATGATGGGACTTCTTTTATCCTGCTAACACCAATGATGGGACTTCTTTTATCCTACTAACACCAATGATGGGACTTCTTTTATCCTGCTAACACACCAATGATGGGACTTCTTTTATC